TTACTTAGAAGCTAGACTCGGAGCGAAAGAATTCGTATCGTCTGAGAAAACATAAGTTTTAGAAGTACATACTACTTGTTTCCGCATATGCATAACTACAGACAACCATATGAAAGCAGATCTGTGGTGACTCACTCCACACAGACAAGCATGCACCAAGGCCCACCGCTGCTTACGAGTGTGCCTGCACTGAAGGCGGCCTCTTTTAAAGCCAATCGCAGAGGCCGCAAAACTAGTCTCGTTCGGCGGCGAATAAGACGCATGCACGCCTAGGTCGATGCACTCTGTCCGGCTAATAACCTCCAAGGCCGACCCAGACAATGGCCGCTCTCTGTGGCTACTGTCATACCTGCTGCTAAGACATTACTTAGGACTCGGCTTGCCTCCTAGTTGGTCGTGCGCTCCGAAGTCAAACTTCTTCCTGCTTATTCTCTATTCCTCTGTACGCAGAATGAACTATTCCTTCTACTCTAACCTCCACAGACTTCTTCTATCCTAAGGAACCATAGTTTTCAGATCGCATTTGCTAGGGTTTAAATCACTTAACCCCCTGCGATAAATTCGGTTAAAAATACCTTTGCATACATTTTCACTGAATAACCTGCAAGAATTACGCTTATAAACAAACTGGTAAAAGAATAAGTGCTTATTGTCTGGTCGTGTGTTCCATGTTGTTGTTGAACAACCTATGTGATTGTTTCTTTTTTCGTATTGTTACATATGCGGCTCATTTAGATTCGCTGATAACAATTTCATAGCAAGAAAAAAATGAATGAAAACGTTCACGTTCCAGATGTTTGCATGCATGAAGAAGAAGAAGGGTTGTCAAGCACCGGATGAATTTTTTTTATTTTCTGAGGCTTAGGGCCCTCGAAAGAGTCCGTCGTCAGAAATAAAAGCGCCCACGAAACACAAGCAGCAGTTATAGGGGGTAGATACTCATCAACCGTTAAATGAAAGGGGGGAAGAAGGCGGGGAGGGAACTTATTAACCACCAGTGTCGGTCGTGCGAATGTTCCTGCGGAGGGCGATGTATGCCGGCGCCAGATCGATAGATCGGTTGACTGAATTCTCATCCGTGGCTCAGGCTTCAATCAATTCTCGGTCTGTCTTGCTGTCAGCGTGGGGGATTATCTTCGCATCTGCGAAGTTAAACGCATGCTCCATCTCGTAGTTGTGGGCCGTCACATCACACAATGCGTCTGATAGCCAGATTATGTTCGTGTAAGCGCAAACCGAGCATGCGTTTATTTTGCCCTGTAAAGTTACAAGGACAGCTTAAGCACGGGATGCGATACACTACCCCAGATTTTTCACTGGGGTTCAGCCGGTCTTTTGTATTCATTACATGGCTGCACTTAACTTATTGATTTTTCGTCTCATTTTCAAAGTGCCTTGTAGTCGGTCATTTCTGCGTCATGGCGTCAGCTGGCATGCTTTGGGGCATCGTGCTAACGAGTCTTCTGCTGATTCCTATGGTTGCCGGCTTCTGTATACTACGAGAAACCACGAAAAAAAGCAAAAATATTGCACTATGGGACAAAGGAGAGATTATAGCTCCAGAGCCCTTAACGCACAGCTCAGCCTTCAGGATAGGCGATTACGACTGTTCCAATGTCGACGACAGGGCCAATGACCATAATAAACTATTCGTGCATTGCTGTTATCTGGGCAATCTGGATGATGATGCGCCCTTGACGGATGAGGAAAATCGCCGCAGATTGCAGAAAATATTCTTTAAATCGGAAGAAAAGGATCCAAAAAAGAAACCCTAATTGATGTGGGCCACTTTGTGACAGCAAAAAACACTGTAAATGCCTTTGCTCCCTGTTTTACAAATGCAAACTACCAAAGAACCTGTCTACTTCGTGCGATTTATGTATTAAAATCCTGTACCATACGTCTTTCATTCATGAATACCGATACACTCGTTGAGGAAGACTCGTTCGGTTCTGCCTTGGAGCTCACTCTCAAACTCAACCAACAGCCGCATGCACGGACGAGGGAGACTGGAATGGCCGTCAGCCTCCAGCCATACTCACCCCGAGGAGGTGCACCAGCCGAGTCTTGATGATAGTATGTCGCAAATTATCGCGTCGACCACAGAAGGCTTCTCCAAATCAAGGCAAAAAAATAGACAGTACCGAGGCAACTGCCAGTTGCGTGTGCACGCCCGATGTTTCCGCGACATTGTGCCTTCGCTGCAGCCAAGCCTTGCCTGCCGGGTCGTGGAAGAGTAATCAGGCATCTGTCGCCAATTAGACGAGGCGGAATTATCGATTGCCTATGAGTGTAGGCGCCAGCGGGTCGATAATACGCGGAGTAGATGACTCATCACGGGTGAAAGCTCTGGGAGGGTGAAAGCAGAGTCACTGCGGCAAGTTCCAACATGTAC